TCTGGGGTGCTTTGGTTCCCCCAGATCCTGGTGAACACCCCTGATAAACTTCTAGGTGGACATCATATCACCCCTGAGCCTGCGCCTTTCCAGGATGAAGAATCCCATAGCTCTCAGCCTCTCATCATAAGGTCTGTTCTCATGACCATTGATCATGCGTGTGGCTCTCCTCTGGACTCTTTCAAGCTTCTCCACATCCTTTTGAATTGCGGAGCCCAAAACTGGACACTACTCCAGCTGTGGCCTCACCAAGGCTGAGTACAATGAGAGAATGACGTCCAGGGATTTGCTTGAGAAGCATCTATGTATGCAAGCCAGGGTTTTGCTTTACTAGCCACAGCATCACATGTTCATCTTATGGCCAATCCTGATCCCCAGGTCCCTCTCGTCCACAGTGCTAGTCAGCGTAGCACTGCTGAGCCTATAAGGATGCTGCAGGTTTTTCCTCCCAAGATGGAGAAACTTGCATTTTTCGGTGTTAAACAACATCAGGTTCTTGTCTGCCCGTTTCCTGAGCCTGTCCAGGTCAGCCTGGATTACCCCCCTGTCCTCAGTGTGGGATGCTTTACCCCAAAGTTTGGTATCATTCGCGAACTTGGCCATTCTACTTCTGACTCCAACGTCCGCATCATTAATGAAGAGGTTGAACAATATAGGTCCAAGGTCAGAGCCTTGGGGGACCCCACTGGTCACAGGGCACCACGACGATTGACTTCCTTCAACCACCACCCTCTGTGTCCGACCACAGAGCCAGTTCCCCAGCCAGTGGATCATGGTGGACCCAAGGCCGCAGTTGGCCAGTTTTGCCGAGAAGTGATCGTGAGATACCGGATCGAAGGCTTTTTTTAAAGTCAAGATATATGACATCAATCTCTTCCCCCTTGTCCAGGTGATAGGTCACCTGGTTGTAAAAGGAAATGAGATTGGTCAAGCAAGACCTACCCGCAACAAACCCATGCTCGCTATCCCTCAGGGTGTTGTCATCGGCCAGTCCATTAAGAATGGCCTCTTTGATAATCTTTTTCTAAGACCTTCCCTGGGATAGAGGTCAGGCTGATGGGCCTGTAGTTTGTCGGATCCACCTTCCTTCCTTTCTTGAAGATAGGCACCACATTGGCCTTCTTCCAATCTTCAGGCACTTCACCAGAGCGCCAGGAGCTCTGGAAGATCTATGCTAGGGCCTGAGCTATGATGCAGGCCGGCTCTCTGAGTACTCTGGAGTGTAAATTGTCTGGGCTGGCTGACATGAAGGTATCCAGCCTGTCAAGGTGTTTCTTCACGAGGTCAGAGTATATGGAGAGCAAGGAACCACCCTCACTCAGGCATCCCTGCCCTTTAATGGGCAGGGACGTCCCATGGTACTTGTGAAAGACCGACACAAAGTACCCATTACTAAGTTGGCTTTTTCCTGGACGTCGGTCATCAGTTCTCCCATCTGGTTTAGCGGGGGTCCAGTGTTGCCCTTGCTTTTCCTCCAGCTCCCCACATATCTAAAAAAGGACTTTTAATTGTCCTTGATACTTGTGGCCAGCTGGAGTTCCATCGGAGCCTTGGCTTTCCTGGTTTGCTCCCTGCAGTTCTGGACCAGTGCAGTATATCCCTCCATGGAGGTGGATCAAGTCCTCCATCCTTTGTAGGTCTGTCTTTTTACATGCAGGAGGTCCACGGGCTCCTTGTTAAGTCAAGGAGGCTGCTGTGCCCTCTTGCTGCCTTTCCTCCGAGATGGAATAGCCTTAGCTTGTGCATCTAGAATCATAGAATCAATGAGTCAGAAGGGACCTAGACAGATCATCTAGTCTGACCACCTGCCATGGGGAGGAAGGAGCACTGGGGGTGGGCAGGGTCATAAGACCCCAGCCAGGTGCCTGTCCAGTCTCCTCTTGAAGATTTCCAAGGAAGGTGAGAGCACCACCTGTCTGGGAAGCCCATTCTGGGCTCTGGCCACCCTTACAGTGAAGTAGTTCTTCTTAATATCTAACCTAAACCTATCCTCCCTCAGCTTGTGGCCATTGTTCCTGGTGACCCCAAGGGGGGCCCTGGTGAACAGACTTTCCCTGAGTCCCTGCTGGTGGCCCCTGATAAGGTTGTAGGCAGCCACAAGATCCCCCCTCAGTCTCCTCTTGCGGAGACTGAAGAGATTCAGGTCCCTCAGCCTCTCCTCATAGGGCTGGCCACGGAGGCCCTCAACCATACGAGTGGCC